CTGATGGAGCAGGGGAGCTGCCGGTCCCCGGTGCTGCCTCGATGAGCTCCGGCGGTGGTCGGAGCCCTTCCCGTGTGGCTGGCGCGGAGGGGCCGTGGGCTGACTGCTGGAGCCGCTGCTGATTGGGCCCCGTCCCACTCCCGTCAGAGGACCGGGATGACGCACGCAGCCATGGCAGCTCGTAAGCCGTGGCTCCCGCGCAGGCCGGCGGGCGAGCGGGGCCTGGTGCCCGGGGACTGCCTCCCGCCTCCCCACGGGCACCGCCACCCACCGGGGGAGCCCCCATGGCCTCCGCCTATTCTCCACTGCGGGGCTACTGTGCTCAGCTCTGCATCCCTCCAGGCTCCGCGTCCCCAAAACTGCCCTGCCACTGTGCTGGGGTGGGGGTGCCCCACTCCGCTGCCCCTGCGGCTGGTGGGGTGCTGGCAGGCACCTGGGGGGCTGTTTGCTGCCTGTGTGCCAGGCAGGGCTGGGGCTGAGTCCCTCCCGGGGGTGGTTTGCTGGCTTTCCATCTCTGCTGCCCTCAAGCAGGGCTGGAGTGACCCCGGTGCTGCCCCCACCGCGGTGCCTGGTGCCCAGGCTGGTGATGCTGGGCAGGCAGTGGGCAGTGCTGGCACTGGCAGCCAGCCCCTTCTCTCAGCCAGTGCCAGCAGCCCCGGAGAAGGGAGCTTTGTTCCCTGGCCATTCAGCCCAGCCGCGGGCGGGTGCTGACGGGGCTGCACAGTGGGGTCTGGGGTGGGATGGTGGAGGAAGGAGCGGTCATTTGGCACATCTCTGGCCAGGAGGGGAGTCCTGGGGCTAAGGCTCCTTGTGCTGCCCCTCTGCCCATGGGGCACACGCAGGCGGGCACAGCGCTTTTCAGCAGCTCCGCTGAGCTGGGGCAGGCCATGGCAGGATCCACCCTGGCTGCAGGGCAGCACCCACACAGCTTCCCCTCTTGGCAGGTCTCACCAGGGAAGGTCACCGCTTCCAAACCTCCTTTCCTCCTTCCCCAGGGAGAACCTGGGGCTGCCAAATCTCCCTGCAGGGTCTCGCAGCATCTCCCCGCCAGCCGCCCACGGCAGCTGCTGCTGCGATAGCAACTGTCAACAGCAGGAACTGTTCTGGCTTAGCAGCCAGAAACACGGGGTGCAGCCCCTGAGCTGGGGCAGCCGTGTGGCGGGGGCCAGGGAGGACAGCATCCCACCAACTGGCAAGCGCAGAGAGACATCCCAGTGGGTTTGTGGCACTGGGTGACTCTATTTGCCCCCAGCTTTGCTCCTGGAGCTGTACCGCAGCCCCAGTCTGTCCCAGGTGGTCGTGTGCTCGTCGCCCAGCGAGCGGGAGCGGAGTGGGGTCAGCTGGGCCCCAGCGTGGGGCCCTTCCTTGTGGCACCGCTGCCTGCCGTGGCGTGGGGACTGCTCTGCTGCAGGATGCCCTGGACTCCTCAGCCCCAGGCAGCCCCAGTTGGTCAGGGTGGGAAGTCATGACCTCCCACCAGCTCCCCACGGACCCCCTCTGCACCCCTCTGCAGCCGGGGGGAGATGCCCTTCTCCCTGCCTGCCCTTTCCCACATCCCACCGTGGGCAGAGGATGGGGCAGCGAGGAGCAGTGCTGGGAGGCAGCCGGCAGCCACGGGCCATGCCGAGGCAGCTGCAGTGAGGTGTGGGGGGGCTATCAAAAGCCCTTGGAACTGGCCCCGGCCCTGAGTCCCCCGAGGCAGCAGGCACAGGGGGCAGCCCCACTCGGCGGGCAGGGGCTGGGGGGCTCCGAAGGCCCCGGGTGCAAACACAGCCCTGCTCATGCAGCAGCTTCTGTGTGCAAGTTAAAGGCAAACGCTGGCATTTCTCCCAGTGCAGAGGCAGGAAGCGGCCAGCCGGCAACCTCGGCACGGGGGTGAATTTCCCTGCCCTGCCGGGGTGGTGGGACCGATCCTGATGGCAGAGGGCAGGGAGAGGACCCGCTGCTTTGCAGGGGTCTGCCCCCGGAGGGCTCCAAGGTCCTCATTATGGCGTGGCCGTGGCTTTCAGCCCTGGGGGCCAGCACAGGGATTGTTACTGGTGGGGCTCCCACCCTGCCGGGAAGGGGGGTCACCCTGCGGTGCGTCTTCTTGCCATGGCTTGTCCCGCCTGGGGAAGGAGCATTTCCAGCATTGCTCTGGTTGGACTTGGTTGTCCAGTGCTGGCAGCATGCTGCGCCTGCCACGCGCCCCAGGAGCCGGCAGAGCCTCGGCTCAGTTTCACGGAGGGTCTGGGCTCCCATGGCTGGTGGCTGTCCAGGTCGGTGGCAGGAGTGGTAGGTGACACAGCCGATGGGAGCATTGGCATGTGGGGAGGTTCGACTGCTGGTCTCTGAGCACCTGGGGGTTTCCTCCATCCCTCGGCCCTGCCTCCTCGTCCCAGGGATCTCAGCCGGGCTCTCCTCCGGGGCTCCCCTCCACGATCCCTGCGGCTCACCCTCCTCGCCGCTCCGGTTCCTGGCTGGCGCAGAGCAGCTTGGCTGCACTGCTGGGGTCTTGGCGGGGAAAGCGCAGCGCAGCCGTCCCCTCCACAAAGCCGCACTGTTCAGAACAAATCCGCCTAGAATTGGGCTGCATTTTTGTCAAGTGATTCATCAGCACGTGAATGGAAAAGGCTGGAGCCCACTGAACCAGTAACCGTTCCCCGCGCCTGGAGCCACGGGGCCAGAGTCGGCGCACGGCTCTCCAGCTCGGTTGCACCCAAGTTATGCCGCAGACACGCGCAGAGCAGCGAAGGGCCTGGCATGTGGGAGGATGCGACAGCAGCTGGGTTGGGGGGCAAGGGGTGGCCCATGCCTGCGGTGGCCCAGGTGCGCTGCTGGCAGAGGAGCGGGCGCAGGCACTGGCAGTCAGCAGGAACTGAGTCCGAATGTGCCAAGTATTGCTCCTCCAGCCTGGGACAGGGACCGGGCCAGGGGGCTGCGCCGAGGGACTTGCCCTGCTGCCTACTTCAGGCAAGGAGGCTGGGGCTTACTGCACGGCTGAGACGCTGCTTGTGCTGCCAGTGTGCCTGGGCAGCCTGGCCCTTCCCCAAGGGAGGGGAGCACAGCTGGGAAAGCCCTCGGTGCAGCCCCGGTACCGGCAGGCACTGCATCTGCCTGCCCCACACTGAGTGAGTGCCCCCATTGACTGGGGGCGGCTGTTTTGGGAAGTCTCTTCCCCGGCCCCTGCTTGTGCTGGTGGCCACCCTCTCCTTTCCAGAGTAAACTCAGCTGACACTTACTGGTACCCACGTGGGGCCGTGCCCCCCTGACCTTCAGCTTAAATAGCCCATCCGCGTGCCCCCGCGTCCCGCAGTATTTATAGAGCACGGTCAGATTCCTTCTCCTTGCCGTGCCAGGCGAAAGAAGGCAAACTCATCTGTGCCAGGCTGGCGGGCAGCCCTCTGCGCATCCCCGGCTGCTCCCACCCCAGGACTTTCGGTGGGGGACACGAGCCGGGTCCCCAGCTTGGCTGGTGCTTGCCTTCCTGCAGCCTTCGCCAAACCACGGCTCCCCATTCCCTACCGTGTGGCATGCACATGGAGCGGGGCTGGCAGGGCACTGGGGTGCCCCTGAGGGATGGGGGAGCTGGCCTCCCCTTGGGATGGTGGTACCCCCAGCAGAGCGGGGAGCCCTGCAAGCCCCTGCCCTGCAGCCAGGCCCCCTCTCCGGCTGTGAGGGTGCTGAGCAGGAGCTGTGGCTTTGGGGCTGCCACTGTCCCCTGCACCATCAACATCCCTGGCATCCCTGGTGCTACCTGGGGCTGGCCGAGAGCTCCTGTCCCCACGCCGGCGGAGGGAGCCAGGCAGGGTGGGGAGCCACAGGTCTTGGCACAGGGACCCAGGTCCTGCACGTGTGAGCGGCTGCGTCCGCCACACATGGCTGCAACCCGCACAGCGTGGCACCGAACCAGCCGCCGTGTCCCGAGCTGGTGAGTAAGGGTGAGCTGGCTGCCTGCTGCCTGCTGCCTGCCCTGTCCACCCCGGGCACCCTGCAGGTCACTGCCACGTGCCGAGCACTCACATGCTGGTTTGTGTATCCCTGGGCTGTGCTGGCAGCGTGACCACAGGGACCCTTCCACGGCAGAGCTGTCCCCCCGTCACTGTCCCCGGGCTCCAGGGAGCTGCAGCCTTGCCAGCCCTGGGACATCCGACCTTGTCCCTCGGAGCGCTGGGACTGCCCCGGGGGCATGTGGAGCTGGGAGGGCTGTTGCCTTTGGCCTGGCTGGTTGAGGCTGCCAGCTGGGGAGCTCGCTGCCTCCCCTCATTGGGCTGTGTTTTTCCACTACCCCAGCCCTCGGCATCCCCAGGTTATTTTTGCAGGCAGCAAGGGCAGGAAGCGACACCCCGGCCCCGAGAGGATGCGGTTTCTGCGCCTGCACGGCACGAAGCTCCGCGCGGCAGTAGCTGAGCTCTGGCAGGGAGCCAGCAGGCAGAACATTGCCCTGTGGCAGCTGGGACCCCTCCATAGTGGGACAGGGACCCTATGCTCTGGCTGTGGTGTGCGAAGGCAGCCTGGTCCCAGGACCCCCACTCCCCCAGCACGGGGGTGCAGAGGGGCTGGCAGGGGAATCTCGGCACAAGCTGCCTGTGCAGGCACTTGGTGGGCAGTGCTGGTGCCCATGCTGGCCGCAGCAAGCAGCCAGCATGCTGCCACAGGGACGCAGCTCCCGCCTCCCTCTCCACCCAAAGGTGACCCTCCAAATAGCTCCCTCTGCCCTTTTCTCCTCCAGCCCACCTAGGTCATGCAGGCATTTGGCTGGGGCTCTTGTCAGAGACTGGTTTAATTAATGACAGTGGGACAAATACTGTGGCGCTCCCAGGATGCTGCTGGCAGTTTTAGCTGTCCTGGTGCCATCTGGGTGACAGGCACGAGGCCGGGCAGGGCCAGCCTGTGCTCGGGAATCCGGCAGGGACTGGGCAGAGACCGAGCCAGTGCTGGCCAAGGGTGACAGGTCCAGCATGGCTGGTGCCAGTGGGGCTGGGTGATTGTGGGGTGACCTTTCCTTATCACTTGCCGTGATGGTGCTGCTGCAGCACTGCCCGTCACCATCCCACATGTGCCAGAGTCCCGTCTCTTTGGGGACAGTGTGTGACAGCCAGCTCTGCGGGCAGCTGGGCATCTGCGGGGAGGGCAGCAGGTTTCGCTGTGGGCAGCACAAGCAGCCGGCCCTGTGTGAGGGTGGCAGCCCCTGTGGGATGGGGGCACTGAGCGGGACTGTCCTGCCGGGGCAGCACCGTGTGGCACTGGCGGCACTGCCAGTCCTCGGCCACCCCTGCTGACCTCGACACCTCTCCATTGCAGTGATCCGAGCAAAGGCCGTCTCTGCGAAAGAGGTGGATTCGGGGAACGATATATACGGGAATCCGATCAAACGAATCCAGTATGAAATCAAGCAGATCAAGGTAACGGGGCACATCGGGGCAGGAGACTGGGAGGGACGGGGCAGCCTCCGTGCCAGCCGCTCACTCCTGCTCTTTCTCCCCAGATGTTTAAGGGCCCTGACAAGGACATAGAGTTCATCTACACGGCTCCGTCCACCGCCGTGTGCGGCCGGCTGCTGGACACCGGCGGGAAGAAGGAGTATCTCATCGCAGGTGGGTGGCTGCAAGGGAGGGCTCTCGGGGGATGTCGGTGGCAGTGCTGGCCCTGCTGCCTCATGTGTCTCCTGAGATGCCTGCGACGTGTGTGCCTGCTCCCCGGGCACGGCCTCCCCCCTCCTCCTCCTGCTCCCACCACCAGCCCTCGGTGGACCCCCTGGCTGCATCCTGGCTGCGCTCGGTAGCCCTGGGCTGTGGTGTGGGCAGCTGGAGGATGAGCCTCTGCTCCCTGGGGTTCACTGGGGACAGCGCACTGCAGGAGGTGCTGGATCACAGCGGCCTCCAGCCCCCTCAGGCCAGGCTGAGCCCCAGGCACCCTGAGTCAATATTGGGTCTGGGGGCACCTGGGAGGGACCCTCTGAGCGGTTGGTCTGGCCTCTCCCCAGGCAAGTCAGAGGGCAACGGCAAGATGCACATCACGCTCTGCGACTTGGTGTCCACCTGGGACTCGCTGAGCCCGACCCAGAAGAAGAGCCTAAACCAGCGGTACCAGATGGGCTGCGAGTGCAAGGTGAGTGGCCGGGCTGCCCCCAAGCACAGGCTGCACCCTGCTCCCCATGCCAGTGGGGTCTGCAGCCCCGAGGCAGGCATGGGCTCCGTGGCGAGGTGCTCTTTCGCCATCCTTCAAGGGTGACGCTGTGCAGGGGGCACAGCATGCAGCCAGGGACATGGGACAGGCAGCCGAGCCTCCGGCTCTCTCCGGGTGGGAACTGAGGCCAGCCCTGGGACCCGCACCTGGGGGTTCCCTCAGTCCCCCTGCATTGGGGTCACATCCCTGCTGTGCCCTGCAGGCAAGGGGCAGCCTGGCATCCCTGGTCCAGAGCTGGGGGGTGGGTGGATGAAGCAGAGCTGTGGAGGACCACCAGCCCCAGCTTCCCCGTGCTGCTTCTTCAGACATTGGAATAGGCTGCCCAGGGAAGTGGTTGAGTCACCATCCCTGGAGGTATTCAAAAAGCGCGTAGACAGGGTACTCCATAACATGGTTTAGTGGGCATGGATGATGGTTGGACTCGATGATCTTGAAGGTCTTTTCCAGCCTAAATGATTCTATGATTCTTCCCACCCCCCTCCTGCCCCAGCGTTCCCCCCTCGGGGTGGTCGGTGACAGTCTCTGTTGTGCACAGATCTCGCGCTGCCTCTCCATCCCCTGCTTCGTCTCCTCCTCGGATGAGTGTCTCTGGACAGACTGGGCGATGGAGAAGAACAACGTGGACGGGCGGCAGGCGAAGCACTACGCTTGCATCAAGAGGAGCGATGGCTCATGCGCCTGGTACCGCGGCATGGCCCCCCCCAAGCAAGAGTTTCTCGACATCGAGGACCCCTAAGCCAAACGAGCGCATTCCAGTAGCCAGTAGAAAAAAAACCTGCGAGATGTTAGACTGGTCCACGCTGATATCAATTCCTGGAGACAGCATGAAAATCCGCTCGGCCATGGGGGTCCCCGGGCTGCGGCGGCTGCCATGCATGTGCAGGGGGCAGGGACGGGGACCCGCTCTGTCACAGGCACCCAGCAGCCTGTGGCTGCACTGGGTGCTCCCGCACTGGCGGCAGGGCTGAGCGGGGCGCGGGGGGACCCCCCCTTGCCGGGGCCGTGTCCCTGCCTGGCCACACTCAGCCCTGGTGCCCTGGCAGCTGTGAAGGAATCGAACCCTCATGAGTGGCGGGAGCTGCCCTGTCTGCGTAGCAGGTCTACCAGTGCCCCCGCCGCGGGGGAGCCACCCCAGCAGCTCTTGCCAGGCAGCCCTTCCCACCGCAGCATCCCCGGCCGCCCTCCAGCACCAGGGACCCTGCTGTCCCCCTCCCCACCCACTGACCGTCCCTCCCTTCGGGGTGCAGAAAGGGTACAGCCCTCCAGGCAGAGGTTTGGGGGGTGGGGGGGCTTTACCATGCGGCAGAGCCCCCGGCTGTGTGCAAGGGGCTACGGGCCTTTTGCGGGGCCGGACGGCTCCTGCACAGGTGCCTTGTCCCGAAAAGCCAGCGGGGCACATTAGCATGGCTGGGGTGACCCCCCTGCATGCACCCAGGCACTGCTGTCCCTCTCCTCCACATGCTCCTCTCCCCACGGGGACACGGAGGTAAGCGCAGGGTTCACCGCCTTCCCCAGCATCACGGGGGGGCTGTCCATTCCCACTGCAACCTCCTGCATGGGTGGAGAGCTGCAGCCAGACTCTTCTGCAGCTGCCACTGTTGGACAGGCTTAGACCCCCCAGCCTTTGCAGGCCGGTGGGCAGCAGGGCTCAGCAGAGCACCAGAGGCAGGAGCTCCAGTTGCACGGGTGCAGGGTGTTTATCATCGCCTCGTGCAGCTGTTGGTCGAGCTGCGTCGTAGCCTTCGGCAGTGCTGCGGCATTGCGGCCGGTCGAGCTCCCTCCTCTGCGGCGGCAGGGATGGGGCCCGGCAGGCGGCCGGGCGCAGGTGGCAACGCAGCCGCAGGAAAACCCGTCCTCTTCGGTGAACCCTCCCACACACCTCGGGTCCCGCTTTCTCTGAGCCATTCCCACATTGCAGCGGCGCCAGCGCGTGCCGCGAAGCTGCCCGTCGGCATCACGGGCGGCACCGGCACGTGTGCCCCGCCGCCGCTTACCGCAGCTTTGGGAGCGTGCCGGGAATAATCCCCGCAGCCCTGCTCCCGGGGGCGTTTTCATGCTGTGCGTCCCTGTAAGGTTTAAGATGTCGTACTGGACCAGTCTGGGCAATTTCAACATATTAAAGAGAAAAATTAAAAAGAAAGAAAAAGAAAAAAAAAACCCCAACCTCTAATCAATCCCATATACGACTCCCGTTCGCTTACTGTATGGTTATATCATATGTGCCATTTACTCCTGTCTCTGCTGGTAGTCTATCTTTGAGTTTAATACTTCCACTTGTTTTGCCACCGCCTGTATGGTCCCTGTGCTGTAATTTCTGTCTCTCCTCGTCAGGCGCTGGAGTCGCACCGGTTTCGTGCGGGGAGCTCCCGGGGCAGGGGACAACGGCGGCGGTGGGGCCCGCTCCTCCGGCCCGGCCCCCGCCGCAGCCGAGGAGAGGAGTGTTCCCCGCCGCTCTGAACTCGGACCCCCGGGG